GGGGTTGCATTTTTGCTTTGAATTATTGAAAATAACTAAGCTAAGAACTTTGATATTTTGGGGCAGGTCTGGAGAGAAGCAGCCTCAGTTTCATGCAATCTTTGTCCTCTGACCTTCCCAAAATACAGTTTGAGTGGTTATTTTCTTCCCGGCATGCAGGAAAAGCAACGATTACTCAATAACCGAGAAGTTGTCTCAGTCCTATGAAAGCCATAGGCTTCATATCTTGAGAGCCATCTACTGGCACCTTATCTATTATCCACATATTATATATCCACAAATGCTTCTCAGTTACAGAGCTGACATGTAGCACATTTTATGTCTTGCTGCTATGATATGAATAAGAACTATTTACAGCACTCAAAGTTCATAAATCATCTGCGGGGCATGTCTTGGAGACCTTATACCACCAGACTCCATGCCCTGTCCGCAGCCACACAGCAAGGCAGTGGCTAATGCCGGGTATAGGACTGCAGAGAACTTTTCGTAACTGCCATGTGTTTCTCCTGCATAGCAGTTAATAGTAATAGTAGCTACCTTGTTCTGAAGTCGTAGCACGTTTTATGAAGCAAAAGAAAAACAAGTGGCAAGGCCGTATTTCGGGCAGACAGTACGCCATTTCCATAGGAAGCAAAAGGCTTTGCTGGTCATATCCTGCTTCCTCCTAGCCTACCCAGTTGGGGTTGAGACTCTCTCCTAGGGCTGCAGCAGGAGGAGAGTGGACACTCAACCAAGCCAGCTTGTTGTGCCAGAAGATCCCAGTTCTTCCAGAAGCACAGGGCCTTTGGATAACAGGGTGCATGCTGTGCCTCAAAACCTCATAGGACGGGGGCTGGGAGTGTCAGCAAAGACACAGGTCATCAGCAGAGGAAAAAAAACAGTTGAGAGGTTGTGGAGGGGAATGAGTAACTTTGCAGATCATAGAATAGGTTGGGTTGGAGGGGACCGTTAAAGGTGACCCAGTCCAATTCCCCTGCAATGAGCAGGGACATCTTCAACTAGATCAGATTGCTCAGAGCCCCATCCAACCTGACTGCTAATGTTTCCAAGGATGGGGCATCTACCAGCTCTCTGGGCAACCTGTGCCAGTGTTTCGCCACCCTCCTTTTAAAAAATTTCTTCCTTATATCTAGTCTAAATCTACCCTCTTTTAGTTTAAAACCATAACCCCTTGTCCTATCGCAACAGGCCCTGCTAAAAAGTTTGTCCCTGTCTTTCTTATAAGCCCACTTTAAGTACTGAAACACCAAAATAAGGTCTCCCCAGAGCCTTCTCTTCTCCACACTGAACAACCCCAACTCTCTCAGCCTGTCCCCACAGCAGACACGTTCCATCCCTCTGATCATTTTTGTGGCTCTCCTCTGGACCAGCTCCAACAGGTACATGTCTTTCCTGTGATGAGGACTCCAGACCTGGACACAGTACTCCAGGTGGGGTCTCACGAGAGCAGAGTAGAGGGGCAGAATCACCACCATCAAATTGCTGGCCACGCTTCTTTTGATGTAGCCCAGGATGCAGTTGGCCTTCTGGGCTGCCAGGACACATTGTCGGCTCATGTCTAGCTTTTCATCCACGAGTACCCCCAAGTTCTTCTCCTCAGGGCTGCTGTCAACCCCTTCACCCAGCCCAGGCTATATTGATACCAAGGGTTGCCCCTGTCCAGGTGCAGGACCCTGTGCTTGGCCTTGTTGAACCTCGTGAGGTTCACACAGGCACACTTCTCAAGCTTGCCCGGGTCCCTCTGGATGGCATCCCATCTCTCATGCGTGTCAACTGCACCACACAGCTTGGTGTCATCTGCAAACTTGCTGAGGGTGCGCTCAATTCCACTGTCTGTTATTGATGAAGATACTAAATAGTACTGGTCCCAATACAGACCCCTGAGGGACATCACTTGTCACTGATCTCCATCTGGACATTGAGCTGTTGACCACTACCCTCTGGACGTGACCATCCAACCAATTCCTCATCCATCGAACAGTCCACCCATCAAATCCATGTCTCCCCAATTTAGAGAGAAGGATGTGTGCCTTACAGAAGTCCAGATAGACAATGTCTGTAGTTCTTCCCTTGTCCGCTGATGTAGTCACTCCATCATAGAAGGCCACTAGGTTGGTCAGGCAGGACTTGCCCTTGGTGAAGCTATGCTGGCTGTCTCAAATCACCTCCCTGCCCTCCATGTGCCTTCTAGGAGGATCTGTTCCGTGGTCTTCCCAGGCACAGAGTTGAGACTGATAGGTCAGTAGTTCCCAGGGTCCTCCTTTCTGCCCTTTTTAAAAATGGGTGCAATGTTTCCCTTTTTCCAGTCACTTCTGGGGACTTCACCTGACTGCCATGACTTTTCAAATATCACAGAGAGTGGCTTGGCAACTACATCAGCCAATTCCCTCAGGACTCTGGTGCCCAAGTTATCCTTTCCTCCAAGGAAAAGGAGGAGCCAGAAATGGACAGACAACGCGTATCAACTCCTGGCTATGTGTCTGGTGCCATTGTGAGGGTTTTTGCAATGGGACATTCTTTGATGACTATAAGCTGTTAGAGAGGGATGGAATCCACCTGTCTAGAAGATGAAAGGGAATCTTTGGCAGCTGGCTGGCCAACTTGGTGAGGCAGGCTTTAAACTGAAGGACTCGGAGGGTGGGGTCCAAAATGGCAATACTCACACCATCGCTTCCAACTGGGGAATAAGCCAGGCCAACCAGAGCTGTGACAAATGTTCCTTAGCTGATTCTCAAGATGAGAACCAGAAGGCAAACAACCTCAAGGATGTGTATGGCTGTGGTGGGTCCTCTTGCTCCCCTCCAGGGAAACCTGCATGCTCAATTACCTCTCCGAAATGCCTGTACACCAACACATGCAGTGTGGTAAATAAGCAGGAAGATCTAGAGGTCTGTGTGTGGTCACAGAGCCATGATCTCGTTGCAGTTACAGAGTCATGGTGGGATAGCTTGTCTGACTGGAATGCTGTCATGGATAGCTTTAGGAAAGACAAGCCAGTGGGGCAAGATGATGTAGTTGGTCTTCACATAAGAGACCAGCTAGAATGTAATGAGCTCTGCCTAGGGGTGGATGAAGAACATGTTGAGACCTTATGGGTAAGAATTAAGGGGAGGCTAATATGGGTGACACTGTTGTGGGTGTTTACTGCAGACGCCACCGGATGAGGAAGAGGAAGTCAATGAGGCCTTCTACAGACAGCTGGAAATAGCCTCACGATCACAGGCCCTGGTTCTCACAGGGGACTTCAACCACCCTGATATTTGCTGGAAAGGCAACACAGCCAGGCACGCACAGTCCAGGAGATTTCTGCAGAGTATTGATGGTAACTTTTTGACCCAGATGGTGGAGGAGCCAGTGAGGAGAGGTGTGCTGCTGGACCGCGTGCTGACAAAGAAGGACTAGTTGGGGATGTGAAGGTTGGGGGTAACCTTGGCTGCAATGACCATGAGATGGTGGAGTTCAGGATCCTGCATGGAAGAAGCAGGGCAAAAAGTAGAATTACAGCCCTGGTCTTCAGGAGAGCTGACTTTGGCCTCTTCAAAGACCTACTTGGATGAATCCCATGGGTTAAGGCTATAGAATGTAAGGGGGTCCAAGAGAGCTGGTTAATATTCAAGCACCACTTCCTCCAAGCGCAAGATCAGTTTATCCCTATGAGTAAGAAATCAAGCAAAGGAGGCAGGAGACCTGCATGGATGAACAAGGAGCTTCTGGAAAAACTCAAATGGAAGAAGCAAGTTTACAGACTGTGGAAAAGGGACTGGTCACCTGGGAGGAATATAAGAGCATTGTCAGAGTATGCAGTGATGCAATGAGGAAGGCCAAGGCCCACTTGGAATTAAATCTGGCAAGGGATGTCAAGGACAATAAGAAGGGCTTCTTCAAGTACATCAGTAGCAAATGGAAGACTAGGGAAAATCTGGGCCCACTGCTGAATGCGGTGGGTGCCCTGATGACAGAGGATGCAGAGAAGGCGGAGTTACTGAATACCACCTTTGCTTCAGTCTTTACTGCTAAGGCTGGCCCTCAGTAGTCCCAGAACCTAGAGGTAAGTGAGAGAGTCTGGAGAAAGGAAGACTTGCCCTTAGTCGAGGATGATCAGGTTAGAAAACATTTAGGCAAACTTGACACCCACAAATCTATGGGCCCTGATGGGATGCATCCATGAGTGCTGAGGGAGCTGGTGGATGTTATTGTGAAGGCACTCTCCATCATCTTTGAAAGGTCATGGAAAACAGGAGAGGTGCCTGAGAACTGGAGGAAAGACAATGTCATTCCAATCTTCAAAAAGGTCAAGAAGGAGGACCCAGGAAACTACAGGCCAGTCAGTTTCACTTACATCCTTGGAAAGGTGATGGAACAGCTCGTTCTGGATGTCATCTCTAAGCCCGTAGAGGAAACTAAGGTTATTGGGAGTGGTCAACATGGATTCACCAAGGGGAAGTCATGCTTCACCAGTCTGATAGCCTTCTAGGATGGCGTGACTGGCTGGGTAGATGAGGGGAGAGCAGTGCACATTGTCTACCTTGACTTCAGCAAGGCTTTTTCCGCTGTCTCCCATAACATCCTCATAGGTAAGCTTAGGAAGTGTGGGTTAGACGAGTAGACATTGAGGTGGATTAAGAACTGGCTGAATGGCAGAGCTCAGAGGGTGGTGATCAGCAGTGCAGAATCTAGTTGAAAGCCACTAGCAGTGTTCCCCAGGGGTCGGTACTGGGTGCAATCTTGTTCAACATATTCATTAACGATCTAGATGAGGGGACAGAGTGTCCGCTCAGCAAGTTTGCAGATTACACAAAACTGGGGGAGTAGCTGACACACCAGAAGGCTGTGCTGCCATTCAGCAAGACCTGGACAGTCTAAATAGTTGGGCAGAGAGGAACCTAATGAAGTTCAACAAGGGCAAGTGTAGAAGAAGGGCTTCTTCAAGTACATCAGTAGAAAAAGGAAGACTAGGGAAAATGTGGGCCCCACTGCTGAATGAGGTGGGTGCCCTGGTGATGGAGGATGCAGAGAAGATGGAGTTAGTGATTGCCATCTTTGCTTCAGTCTTTACTGCTAAGTCTTTACCACAGGAGTCCCAGACCCTAGAGGTAAGTGAGAGAGTCTGGAGAAAGGAAGACTTGCCCTTAGTCGAGGATGATCAGGTTAGAAAACATTTAGGCAAACTTGACACCCACAAATCTATGGGCCCTGATGGGATGCATCCATGAGTGCTGAGGGAGCTGGTGGATGTTATTGTGAAGGCACTCTCCATCATCTTTGAAAGGTCATGGAAAACAGGAGAGGTGCCTGAGAACTGGAGGAAAGACAATGTCATTCCAATCTTCAAAAAGGTCAAGAAGGAGGACCCAGGAAACTACAGGCCAGTCAGTTTCACTTACATCCTTGGAAAGGTGATGGAACAGCTCGTTCTGGATGTCATCTCTAAGCCCGTAGAGGAAACTAAGGTTATTGGGAGTGGTCAACATGGATTCACCAAGGGGAAGTCATGCTTCACCAGTCTGATAGCCTTCTAGGATGGCGTGACTGGCTGGGTAGATGAGGGGAGAGCAGTGCACATTGTCTACCTTGACTTCAGCAAGGCTTTTTCCGCTGTCTCCCATAACATCCTCATAGGTAAGCTTAGGAAGTGTGGGTTAGACGAGTAGACATTGAGGTGGATTAAGAACTGGCTGAATGGCAGAGCTCAGAGGGTGGTGATCAGCAGTGCAGAATCTAGTTGAAAGCCACTAGCAGTGTTCCCCAGGGGTCGGTACTGGGTGCAATCTTGTTCAACATATTCATTAACGATCTAGATGAGGGGACAGAGTGTCCGCTCAGCAAGTTTGCAGATTACACAAAACTGGGGGAGTAGCTGACACACCAGAAGGCTGTGCTGCCATTCAGCAAGACCTGGACAGTCTAAATAGTTGGGCAGAGAGGAACCTAATGAAGTTCAACAAGGGCAAGTGTAGGGTACTGCACCTAGGGAGGAATAACCCCATACACCGGTACAGGTTAGGGGCTGACCTGCTGGAAAGCAGCTCTGCAGAGAGGGACCTGGGAGTCCTGGTGGACAACAAGTTGACCATGAGCCAGCAATGTACCCTTGTGGCCAAGAAGGCCAATGGTATCCTGGAATGCATTAAAAAGAGCATGGCCAGCAGGTTGAGGGAGGTTATTCTCCCTCTCTGCTCTGCCCTGGTGAGGCCACATCTGGAGTAGTGTGTCCAGTTCTGGGCTCCCCAGTTCAAGAAAGACGAGGAACTACTATAGAGAGTCCAGCAGAGGACTACGAAGAGGGGATCTCATCCATTTATAAAATATCTAAAGGGTGGGTGTCAGGAGGATGGGGCCAGACTCTTTTCAGTGGTGCCCAGTGACAGGACAAGGGGCAACGGGCACAAACTGGAACACAGGAAATTCCATCTCAACATGAGGAAAAGCTTTACTTTGAGGGTGACAGAGCACTGGAACAGGCTGCCCAGAGAGGTTGTGGAGTCTTCTTCTCTGGAGATATTCAAAACCCACCTGGATGCATTCCTGTCCAACCTGTTGTAGGTGAACCTGCTTTGGCAGAGGGGTTGACCTAGATGATCTCCAGAGGTCTCTTCCAACCCCTACCATTCTGTGATTCTGTGTGATTCTGGGATACATCTTGTCAGGTCCCATAGACTTTTCTATGTTCACAAGGTACCACAAGTGCAAAGACATCTCGCTCACCTTCAATTTGGGTCTCCCAATATTAGTAGATGCAAAAGCTAGTTTTATTTTCATGTGTTGGGCAGTGAGTACCTGGGATACTTTCTGTTTATGCATGTCACAGACCTATGAAAAATTACTCTGTGCCACCATTTTCAGAGTAGATAGGAGTGGTATTTAGGACTGTGCTCTGACTTTAATTCCTCTTTCTTTAAATGGAAGCTATTAAACTTTCCATTTAAGGCAGAAAGGGTCTCTTTATTATTACAGAGCTTTCCTTGATGTACTTTTCAAGTCCTGGATTTTGGTTTTGTGGATTTGGTTGGTTTTTTTCAGTTACCGTTTATATGTATCATTTAACATCAACTTTTTATCTAGTGAAGCATTTTCATTTGCATTTTTTACTGTTTTGCATTGGTATGCTTTCAAATCATTTCTAAATAATAGTAACTTTTGCCTTGACTGATCATAAAAAATGTTTCTATCACACACAAGCAATGACAATTTGAACAAAAAATTAATTACATGATAGGGAGTGAAATGTTTTCAGGTTTCAACAATGCTTCTCTGTATTGCTGTTTTGTTTCATTTAAGGTAAAGTTAAATATATGTATGACAGCTTGCAAATCAGATAGGAAATTAGTGTGGCTTCATAAAACACTATACCTGGCTAAGTATTGGTGCTATATACGTTAAATGCAAAACAGTTTTCCTTAGAAGGTCATCTCTGTGCTAGCTGTTCGTAGTCTGTTGTGTACAATGTCAGTATTGACAAAACATCCCTTTCATTAGATAGAAAATGCCAAATGATCTGGTTTTCAGAACTGTAGCTCTTCTGGGCCTCTCCTTTCTCAGATATAGAATCTGATTTCGTAACACCTAAATAGCGAATTTTTATGCATGTGTGTGTGTGAAAAAATTCTAAGGATATTGACTTCTGATCTTCGTGAGAATCATTCTTATGCAAATCCTTCAAGAGTCTTAGCACTTTTTCTATTATACTTAATTTTCATTCATGCCCTATTCCCAAGAACAATCAGAAATGCTCCCATGACCCTTCGTTTTCTTACCTGAGACAGGTCAGATGAAGGCTGCCCATCAGCCTTTCACTGCTTCATGCACAGGACCACACCACCACTCTGGCATAATCACTTTGGCACAATGCCACGACAGAGTAGCTGAAGTCCACATTCATGTATATATTGCTATTCACCTGGGGCACACAAGTGCCCTTTGTTCCCAAAAGCCTCATATGTGACACGTAACAGTGTCTTTGGGTGCACGCTCTGGTACCCGCACTGTGTGCTCGGTTACTGTGACAGGAACGCTCATGCCAGCAGTGCACACAATGGTCAGACATTGCCCATTGATGCTTCTCTTAAGAAGGGACGCTGATGCTAGGTGTCCATCTATACGCAACAGGAAAGCATGGGCAGTCTGTTATCTGTTAGAATGATTTAGCAATATATCAGGAGACGTGTAGCAGGGCTTACAGATATGGGCTGGCGCAAGGTGCTGAATACAAAATGATTGTTTATTGTTTCATAATGCATGAAGTAGGAGTATCAAATGATGTTAGCAGGTGCCAAGTTTAAGAAAGCTATCTTCTCACACAGTATGGGAAGCTCATGGCCACAGGTCCTCCTGGCTGCCATATGGTTGTGCAGTTCATGGGAAATTCATGGGAAGAAAATCTATCAGGAGCTATTAACCACAGAGACACTATCTCTTGTCCCTGAGCAGTCCCAGCCTCCAGCTGCCCGTGAGAGTACAAGGAAAACACCGCTGTAACCTTGCTCTGATCTCCTACTCTTAGCTATGCATCAGAGGACCCATATGAGGTACTTCAGCACAGTGTGTAGTGTCTTCTGTGGGCCTTCAGCAATGTTGCCTCTCTCACATGAAATGGCACTCCTCCTTTGCTGCATCTGTTAAACAGCTGAGCGGCACTGTCTACCTGTCCTCAAGGGTCTACTGAAAACAAGCAGAAATGGCTCATACGTCTGTATGTTGAGCAGTACTGCATCTGTCTGCGGTTGGGCCCTCTCGCCTCTACAGATAGAAACAGTTCAGGTGTTTCTCTTGACAGCATTGGCACATGGAGACAGGAGTGGGTAAGTCAGACTGCTTGGGATTTGTTCAGTTGAATTGTGAGTTCCCCTTGGTGGTCTGCAGGAATCACATCTAGGTAGGAGGATCCCATGTGGTCAGTTGGGGTGAGCTGAATGTAACTTCTGCAAGATCCACCTTCATAGAAGGTGAACCTAAAAGTTGACTGACAAATGCCATTTGAAAATGCTGGTTTATGTCTCCAGGTTGTTTTTCTTTTTCATTGAAACAGTTTTATTCCTTGCTAGGGAAAAAAAGCAACCACTATGATTCCAATGAAGTAAAGTAGCTAGAAAGAGTAGCTAGAAAGACCAATGGTATGCTTTGTCTGCACTTACTCTTTCACATTATAACACTTTCATGCTCTTTGTCTTAAAAACAACTGTGGGCAAAAAAGCCCAAAGATAGAGAAGGAAAATAATGGGAAATAGGGGAGGGATGTTACCCTGTATCAGACAGAAAAAAAAGTTTGCATGGCCAAGAAACTGCTGTCACACAGAAATTATCAGTGAATAGCTGCCATGGGTTTTCTCCTTGCAGGCCCCAGTTCTGCATCTCCATTCAGTACTCTGCTGGGAAGAGAGTAGCAAAAATAAAGCTCAAGTATCTCCACAAAGTGGAGGTCACCACCACCACCACCTCTTTCAGTATGTGACTCTGAAGAGCTGTCAAGCCACTTAATCCATTGTACTGCTGTCTGTCCTGGGAGATGGAGGTGATTTCTACTGCTGGTAGCAAAATGTCCAGTCCTACAAAGGTGCTTGTAGGAGCAAAGCTCTATGTAAATCAGTCAAGAATTAGACTGTTAAGTTGGCTAACCCTGGTAGTAAACCAGAGTTATGAATTTCTTCTTCTCCCTTGAAGACGTTTTGTTGCTCTTCAGGAATAAACACTGCTGAATAACCATGACTTTATATAAATAATACACTCCCTCCTACAAGCTGCATGAAATGTTAAAACTCCAGAATGGACTATAAACGGATGCATAAATCTTTGGGATCGGTGCATTTCAATCCATCTATTTAAAACTGAAGGTAAAAGGATCACAGTATTTATTCGCATTTTCCATGCCCTTTGTGCAATTTTTTCTGACATCAATTTCATGTGTGGAGCAGCACAAAACAGTGTTCCAGTATATATTGCAATACTTTGTTCTGTTTCTTGGCATGTGCCAGCACATTCCGTTGAAAGTAAAGCGTAACATAAGACAGCTTTTTTGGCATAACAGGTCACTGAAGTAGTGGAATGTTTCAGTCAAAACTGAAAGTGTGAGACACATTGCTGAAAGGCAAGTTGTCTTGCAGGAAAAGCTGAGACCTTTCTTCATCTTTATACATGAGGAGTCTTGCTCTGAAGCAGTTAATTACAATGAAAAATATGGCACGCTTTTTTCATAACTGGCCATGAATTGTACTTGGATTACACACTAGTTCAAGTGAAGAATAAGAGCCATTATTTGTCTCACAAGTAAGGGGAAAAAAAAGTCTGACAGTATGTAGATGAATGTAATCTACTTCTTGTTTATAGACCTGAAGGATCCCTCAGAGCATTAAAAATCCATGTGATATCCAAGAGTGGTATACTTTGCATTGAGATATGTGATTTAGATGAAAGCTGTATAAAATCTGTAAAACTGCATGTAGGCAAAGAGTACCCTACTGCCTGTGTGTTTGAGTGAAGCCATGTGTACTTTTCCTGCGCACATGAAAAATAGATGATCATAAAATCTGCTTGAGATTCACAAACTTCTGACAGGAACATGTGTGTAGGTTAAGTCTGCCAACTTTTGGTCAAACCAGGCCTGAAAACAAACAGACCTGAAATAAGCATTGTTCTTCCATTGGGGGAGAAACTCCAGCTTCATACACAGCAAGTCCATACAGGCTGTGTGTCCTTTGCTGGTCTTCCACTGGAACAGGCGATGTTCTTTCCTTCTGGGTTGGGTCTTTTAACTGGCAACTGGGGCTCCCAAGGCTTTTCTGGTGGGGTCTTTGGAATCAGACCTGTTTTTTTGTCGAGAGGAATTGACATTGAAAATACGTGAGGCCTACATTCCATTCTTTTTAGTACTGTCTAGGACCTTATTTGGTCCACTCTCCTGTAGATTAAATAGATTTTTTCACTTTTTTTTTTCCCTAGGAGCTAACACTGCTGATGGTATCTTGCCGTAGCTCACACACGTGGTGTGGCTCTCGTTCTCTCAGGAATTGTGCAGAGTGGATTTTTTTATTTTTTTTTAATTCTGTACATGTGTGTTTCATAAACATGTGGCAACATGGTGTCAGCAGTGAAGAGGGTAACTCAAATGTTCCTTGTACATGTGGTGGGATTTGTTCTTAGCAGCTGTGGAACCTTATACCATGCTTTTGGTGGTGGCTTGAGGAAAATATTGTTGATGAATATTAGCTGGGCTGTAAGAAGCATTTTTTTCATCGGTATTCTTGAGCAAGGTCATCTTCCTCGGGCCTTTAGAGACACCAGACACAAGCCATAAAGTGTTTTAAAGATAAGGATCCACAAACTCAGCTTTATAGTTTTTGAGTAGACAGAGCAGAAAAAGAACGGGTGTTGTGTACCCATGGCTTGTATTGCTGAGGAGGCTTTGCTACACTCATCTGTACCAGTTGGCTTCTCCCAAGTTCTGGGAAACTTTTGGGAAACTGCAGGCTTCCAAGAGCAGCACAGCCAAGATATAATACAAGTGTGAATAACTGAGGTTGCATAATTCGTCGCTAGTACACCATCTCCTAGCCAAGCACAGCGACAGAAGGCATTACTCACAGACGTGGCTACGTGGGACTGGGATCAGGTGCAGCCTGGCCCCAGGGCTCAGCTGCTGGCTACTGCTGCCCAGTCCTAGCTAAAGGAGTGCAGTGCACAGCCAGGGCAGACCTGCCCTCACTTTGAGATCGTCAGAGCACCTGTGAAACATCTCAACCAGCTGCTTTTCATCTGGGAGCTGATCTCCTCTGGGTGCTGGTACAGGTGGCATGACTATGTGTATTAGATAAAGCTGTGTCAGTTATCCACTGCCCTTGAGACTGTTCATCTGCCTGTTTCTTGTACTGTAAGCATCTAAAAGCTACACAGGTAATGGCTTTAATTCTCGAGATGTAGTCTCCCTTCGTCACGTACTGGAAGGGCCCTTCTGAGAAGGATTCAGATTGCGTTTGCTCCTTATCTGGCACTGGAGCCAAACACGTAACCACAAGGAACCGTACCAATGGCTGTTGGTCTTTGGTACTTGGTTTGGACATGGAGAATGGGGAGCCAGGGCACACCTCTTGTGACCTCAAGATCTGATTAAGAAAATGCTGGTCGCCATTTGTACATCACACTAGCATAACATGGTAGTGACCCCGTCATGTGGTTTACAAGTAGTAGTTTTTGTGTAGCAGTGAGATGGGATGGGAACATCAGGGAGTACAAGAATGCAGGTGTCAACTAGCCTAAGTGTTGAAGTATATAGCTGGGAATAACGTGTTACTGAGAGATTGTGTGTGCGGTGTTGGATTAATAGGGCAGAAGAATGTATGCGTTGGAGCTAGGAACTACATGAAAAAATCATTGCATCTCAGTCTCTATAATTCAAAAGAAATTGCTAGAGAGAGTAATGGAGAAATGGGGCTCATGGGTCTAGCTGTCCCTTTTGGAACACTGACAGATCTATTTTTATCATAAAAAAAATGTTTTTATAAGTAAAGTTTTCATATCAACAAGGAAAATATTTTTAAAGAAAATACCAGTGCTAGTCACAGCTAAAACCATAAAACCATAATACTGTGCCTTAAGCAGATTGCCCTTCAGGCAGTTTCAGGTTCATAGTTCAAGCATCATGTTGTGACAATTACGGGACCTCTGGTGGAGCTTCCGTATTCCAAAGTCAGAAAAAAAGTACAAAAATAGAGGGGCTCCTTTGTCTCCCCAGGCAGTGCCTGTTGTCTGAGCGGCTGAAAATAAAGCAGGGTAAATGTAAGTCAGAACCGTGTGCCTGAGACACGGTCGCTGCAGTGTTATATGGCACTCTGGGGAGAACACGGGCAGTAGCCGGGCTTCTGCTGCTGTATTTAATGATACTCTGTGAATGCCGGATACACTTGTGGTATCATCTTGGATGTGAGTTATAGCGACAGGAGAGACGGATCAGAGAGGGCCTGGCTGCCAGACTGGGAAAGACTGGCCTAGCAGTTTCATTCCCTGTATGGTCTGGTTAAACTGGTCTCTAAATAAGGAAGGCAGTGGTGCCTTTATGATCTGTAGCTGTGTGGAAATGAAGGGAGTTTGGGCTGGAAGAAGGGAGGAGGGTAGAGGAAAAGAAGAAAAAGAGAATGAGAATAGAAACTGTGGGCCGTAGTAATTGCAACCAGGAGAAAACAGAGCAGTGAGACCACATAGAAGAATCAGGGAAGTGGGAAGAAGAAACAAGGTGGGAGCAAGAAGAAAGGAAGAGAGAGCAGGACGTTCCCCTGGTGAGGCTTGTGTGACTGTGGTACCTGGCCAGCCGGGACATTTTTTGCTTTTAAGCACCTCAGTGATCCGCCAAGCAGAGAGCCGAGTTTCAGCAAGCAACAAATAATGAATATGAGAAAGAAGAAACAAGTTAAAAACAAAACGGAAGAGGTGAGAGGGGAAATAGAAGGAATATGATAGTAAATGGAATAATGGAATGGCACAAAAAATGAAGAGCTAAAGGGAAAGAAAAAAAATGATCTGGCACCAGGTGCTCAGCTGGCAGATGCTTTGTAAGCCCACGGAAGATGAAGGATAAGTATCAGTGCAACCACTAGCAGGCAGTAAAAATTACTATTTCCTTTCTGGTAGGTGCTGCTCGGGGCTTGATTAGTCAATAGGAAACAGTAGGCACAGGGATTTGTATGAAGCTTCCTCAGAGCCTTAGCACATATTGGAATGTGCAAATTGATACCCTTTTAATTGTAGCAAAGGCTTTTAGACTACAGGTAGGTAGATGAGGTCAATGCAAACAGCAGCAGGTGGGCAGAGCAGGGAGCAGACATAGATGTATGGGGGAGAAAGGAGGTAGAAGAAAACCTGCCTTATAGCTGATGGAGAAGTTAGATAGGAATTATATGAGTGTAAAATATTCCTTGGCTACTGCATACCGGGCCCCCATATGAAGGGATACTAAGCAGTAGTACTGTTATATGGATTTGTATAGACCCTTCAAAAGCGTGGTTACATCAAATATGTCAGCCAGTATTTTTAAAGAGCGAGTCCTAAATCTTTAACTTAGGGGTCGAAAAGGAGGTCATACTTTGGGGAAAAGCAAACTTCCAGCAGAGCCTCCTCACACTGATTCGGGGCTCTCCGGGCCCGCGGGGATAACGGTGCCTATTCC